TTAAAACCTCTGAAAAACGATCAAAAATCCACTAAAACCCCCCAAAAAATGATCAAAAATCCCCATTAAAACCTCTGAAAAACGATCAAAAATCCCCATTAAAACCTCCAAAAAATGATCAAAAATCCCCATTAAAACCTCTGAAAAACGATCAAAAATCCCCATTAAAACCCCCCAAAAAACGAGCGAAAATCCCCCCAAAAATGGGAAAAAGTCCCCATTAAAACCCCCAAAAAACGATCAAAAATCCCGTTAAAACCCCCAAAATCGACCCAAACCGCCATTAAACCCCAAAATCGATCCAAAACCCCCAAAATGATCAAAAAGCCCCAAACCCCCCCAAAGGGAGCGGCGCTCAGCCCCCGGCTCTTGCAGGAGGAGGACGAGGTCCCCGACGACGAGACCGTGAACCAGATGATCGCCCGGCACGAGGAGGAGTTCGACCTCTTCATGGTGAGGAGGAGGAGCGCGAGGAAGGCCGGGGGGGGGTGGGGAGGAGGAGGAGGAGCAGGAGATGAAGATCTTGGGAGGAGGAGGAGGAGCAGGAGAGGAGGAGGAAGAGGAGATGGGGAGGAGGAAGAGCAAGAGGAAGAGGAGATGATCTTGGGAGGAGGAGGAGGAGAAGGAGAGGAGGAGGAGGAGGAGGAGGAGGAGGAGATGGGGAGGAGGAAGAGCAGGAGGAAGGGGAGCAGGAGATGAAGATCTTGGGAGGAGGAAGAGGAGAAGGAGAGGAGGAAGAGTAGGAGATGGGGAGGAAGAGGAGGAGGAGATGGGGAGGAAGAGGAGGAGATGGGGAGGAGGAGGAGGAGATGGGGAGGAAGAGGAGATGGGGAGGAGGAGGAGGAGGAGGAGATGAAGATCTTGGGAGGAGGAAGAGGAGCAGGAGATGAAGATCTTGGGAGGAGGAAGAGGAGCAGGAGATGGGGAGGAGGAGCAGGAGATGGGGAGTAAGAGGAGGAGATGGGGAGGAGGAGGAGGAGATGGGGAGGAAGAGGAGATGGGGAGGAAGAGGAGGAGATGGGGAGGAGGAGGAGGAGATGGGGAGGAAGAGCAGCTGAGGAGGACGAGGAGGAGATGGGGAAGGAGGGAAGAGGAGCTGGAGATGAGGAGGAGCAGGAGATGAAGATCTTGGGAGGAGGAAGAGGAGGAGGAGATGGGGAGGAAGAGGAGGAGGAGATGGGGAGGAAGAGGAGCAGGAGATGGGGAGGAAGAGCGGCCAAGGAGGAGGAGGAGGAGATGG